ACAGCAGACTAGAGTTGTTCCCACTGTTAGACCTCCGGTAGGTGCCCCTTCTGTTAGATGATGCGCTAGCCGTCATGGACGTCGCTGACAGTCGGAGCCTGTCCGACCCCAGCTTGGTTCAGTTGTCGTTACTCCCTCCACTCAGTTAGATGTTCCTATCGGGTCCCGTCGTAGTAGATAGGTTTGGAGACGTCGGTAGGTGGATGAACCTGTCGAGACAGAGTAGATAGTTGGGACGATCTGACGAGATGATACAGTCCCTTCAGTGTCAATACCAGTTCAGATGAGTCATGTTGCAGTTGATGTTGAGGATAGTACTCGGGCTCGAGTGGAGCCAGTTGTTGTTCCTAGTCCCCTTAGGATTTCTTCTCCTTTGGGTCCATACATCGATGCCCTTTATCAGACCTCCGATAAGGACTTACTCGAAGGAGAGTCAGATGAAGACATCCCTATCCACCTTGTTTGTGTTGTCATGAGACGAGGCACCTTAGATGAGTAGCATGAGCAGTACGATGATTTGGAGGAACAAGGGGAGGCCGATGTACCTTCCACCTCAGCATAGGGTGGACCTCCCCGTTCAGTAGACACGGATGTCACAGTTTTGCAGTTGTAGACTCAGATGGCGGAGATGGCCAGAGTCATGTGGCGATGACTGCCCAGTTGACGACATTGGGGGCTTCACCCCATATCATGGATGTAGGTGCTCCTACTACATCCAGAGACGAGCCAGCAGCACCACAGTCGTCAGTCCCAGAGCTTGTTAGAGTTGATAGAGTTCAGATGACAGTTCCGATGTCTCTCCCAGTAGTACCTTTGAGTGTGCCAATCCAGAGTCAGTTAGTACAGTTATCACCAGTTCAAATTCAGGACATGATTGCATAGAGGGTTGACTAGGCCATAGCTTCTAGAAAGTCTGGAGATTCTATTAGTAGAGGTCGTCCCTACTCGGTATAGTACGAGCGGGAGCCCTACCACGCTGGTTTTGTTCCTCCCCATTTTCGAGTGTTTGGTGGGTTTAGGAATCCAAGACAACATGTGGCTCAGTATCGGGCCATATGTTGTAACATTGGAGGAAATGATGCATTAATGCTGAGACTGTTTGTTAGTAGCTTAGGGGGAGTGGCATTTGAGTGGTATGCCGATCTCCCTAATGATTTAGTTCGCACTTTTGCTGAAATGGAGCAGTTGTTTGTGTAGAGGTTCATTAGTACAGAGTATAGAGTGACTATTAGTGAGTTGGTAGTGACCACGCAGCGCCCCCATGAGTCTCTACCTAACTATATTATTTGGTGGAGAAACCTTAGTCTTCAGTGTGAACCTCAATCGTAAGAACATCATGCAGTTGAGATTCTGTTGAAGAACATTGATGGTCCTATTGCTCCTTATCTGAAGGGTTTCAGCATTCGAACCTTTCAGAAGTTGTTAACCAAAGTCACTAGCCTGCAAGACAGCATACCCAGTGCAGTCCCTCCTAAGGTTGAGAGTCAACCCCCACGTAGACCTCAGCATTTGGAGTTTTCTGGGGCACCACCTCCTAGGAAGGGGGAGGTGCATAGTACTTCTGATGCTCATGATAGGGGCAAGAGGCCCATGGTTAGTTTAGCACCACAGCGTCCACCACCATCTCGACCTCAGTTTCAGCCCCGACCTTAGTTACCACCACAAGTACAGCCTCCTGTTCAGTCTTAGCCACGACCACAGAGTCAGCAGCCTAGGCCCTCTTATAGAACTCCAGAAAATCAACAGCACTTGCAAGAGAGGCTTAGAAAGGAGTATCCCTTTGAAAAGGGAGAGTGTAAAGAAGATTTTCAAATTTTTGATCAAGAAGAACATTTTAACATTTCCACCAAACAGGAGAGTGGAAGAGGAGGGGCAGTCAGAGCATCCTATGTATTGTCCATTTCATAGGCATATTGGCCATGTAATTGAAGATTACTATGTGTTCAAGGACAGAGTGGAGAGCCTTATGGCTAGGGGTGAGATTCACTTGCAGGACAGCGACCTAGTGAATCCTTAAGGCAAAGTTGCTCAGTTGTTCAGATAATTACTAGCTCCAGTCAGTGTGACAGTCAGTGTGGTGTTCAGAGTAGTGACAGTAGAGCACCTCTTAGTTCTAGGGAGGAGTGGCAGCTTGCACTCTCTCCCAAGACAAGGGGTAAGATCAGACGGGCAGTTCAGAGTTCAGAGGCAGTTGAGAGGAGGCCCCCACAGGCCAAGTCAACAGTTGCCAGCCTAGTTCCTTTGCCAGTTTCTTTTTCTTCTTTTGTTGTAGTGCATACTGAGCACATTTCTTCTACTTCTACTTGTACTAGAAAGATGCATGAAAGAGAGAAATTTATTGTAACTTCTGAGGGGAAGACATGATCTCTTCAAGCACTTACGCTGAAGGATTTTATTCTCCCTTCAACTGATGATGAATTAATGGAAGAAAACGATTCCGGCTACTTTTGGTGTCTTGCTCCTTCTAGTTTTACTTTTTCCTGCACTCATTCTTCTCATATTTTATTTATTTCTGAAAATAATGATGATGATCTTTCTTTTGGAGAAGAGTTTGAGTGTGAGGAAGAGCTTGTATTTGCCATTCCTGAGGGGGGTTGTTACATGGATTCTGGGGATGAATCCGAGAACACCTCCCAACCACTTTTTGTTGAACCAACACAAGTCATATCACCTAAACCAAATGAGTCCTCTGTTGCGTTTGACTCAATATGAGAGATACAGTTGCATTCAGGTAAGGTCCTTCCACCTAAAATGGCTAAGAATAATAAAGAGAAAGATAGAAATATCAATACCCAACAAGATGATCCTATCCCTCCTCCCCAAGAACAGGCTATGGAGAAGGGAAAGAGACCTCGATTGGATGTTGATTATAATGTGTTGGCTCATTTGAGAAAGATCCCTTCCCTTCTTAGTGTGTATGATGCGCTTATGATGTCTTCCGACTTGAGAGAGACTTTGGTGAAAGCTTTGCTTGAACCAGAGTCCTATCAAGCTTTCTTTGCCACTGAGTCAGTTAAGGATGCATGCTATTTGAGAGAGATGTCATGCATTACCTTTTCAGACCAGGATCTTCTTTTAGGGACTCCTGATCACAACCGTCCCTTGTACGTCACCACTAAAGTAAATGGTTATGAGTTGAACAGGGTCCTCATTGACCAAGGAGCTTCAATTAATATCCTTAATCATGCCACCCTACAGAGTCTCTCCCTTGGTCACTTAAAACTCACTTCAGAAAAGATTATGCTGAAGGGTTTTAATGATCAAGGTCAGCGAGCTTTAGGTTCTATTACTTTGCCTTTGCATTTTGAAGATCTTTTGACTGAGGCAAAGTTTCATGTTATTGAGGCAGATACCTCATATAAGGCTCTCTTAGGAAGGCCTTGGATACATGAATATGGAATGGTGCCCTCTACACTGCACCAGTGCATGAAGTATATGAGGAATGACGTAGAAATTTCCATTCTTAGAGATACTCAACCTTTTGCCGTGCATGAGGTCTCTATTTATGATGACGCCGAGCATTACATGCCTCGAAAGGCTCGTAGACCTCCCACTGCCCAGTCATCAGTGATACTCACTAGTGTTGTACAGGGTCCTATGCAGTCACTAGCACAGGGTCCTATACAACCACTAGCACAGGGTCTATCACAGGTTAGGATTGGGGCAGATGTTTCCACTGAAGACCTCGATGGATCTTTACAGTTTGTGATCAGGCACGATGTTCCCCCTAGTAAAGGTAGGGGATGGTGTGGTAGAGGTCAAGGTAGAGAGTCAATTCGTCCTCCTAGAAACTTTAATACTCGAATCCCCCCTCCCTCACAGCTTTACACTTCCTCTTTGACTGTTGAGTCTGACTCTGATGATGAGATGATCGATGTTCCTCGTCACTCAGTTCCTTTGCCCGCCTTTAGTGTTGATTATAATTCTTATCCTACATTCCATAGGAATTTGATACCTTAGGGCGGTTTGATTGTTGATAGTGAATCAGACGACGACATAGATGTCGGACGTCAGACCACTAGTCAACAATCTCTTTCTCGTCAGATGTACGGGATGAGAATTGAGGAATCTCCTTTTCAACCTTCTCCTACACCTTCCGCCAGTGTTCGTGGTGCACTACCCTTCGATAGGTGCTCTGTACAAGAGCTGCACACTCTCTATGTGCCACCACAATCTGCTTGGCATGCATCGTTGTTCCATAGTGTAGGTGTTCCACGGAGTACGGACATACATGATCCTATGGAATCCACTGTGGACGATGAGATCATGCAAGTTCCTCGATACTTTTCCCCTACTGTGGATAACTTTGTTGAGTGAGGCATTGTCCCTTCGACTTGGTCGGGTAGACAGGCCCAACAGCAGGCCATATTTGGCGAACTGGTTTTCCTCGAACTGGGCAGGGTATAGGCTATTCTCAAGAGAATTAGTCTCCTTCCGCCAACATTCGGGTTGTCTCTCATTCCTATCTGGTCGTTTCCATCGCCGATGATGAAGACCCGGAGGAGAATGGGGACAGGGTCCTTGAAGCTCCACGTGAATTCGAAGATGGCACCAATTCTGCCAAGGACAAATTATGTGAGATCAATTTGGGCACTGAATCGGATCCTCGACCTATCTTTCATAGCGCTTTACTATCCGAATCAAAGGCTCAAAAGTATGTTTCACTCATTTCTGAGTTTAGAGATTGCTTTGCCTAGAACTATACAGAGATGCTCGGTTTAGATCCAGAAGTAGCAATCCATAAGTTAGCTATTAGTCCCGATGCAGTCCCTGTTAAGCAGTCACCTCGTCAGATGAGGTTAGAGATTGAATAACAGGTGATAGCCGAGACTAAGAAGCTTATAGAGGCTGGTTTATATCGTGAAAAGAAGTATACCACTTGGCTTGCCAATGTTGTTCTAGTCCAGAAGAAGAGTGGCTAGATCCATGTCTGTATAGACTTTTGTGATTTGAATAAGGCATGTCCTAAGGATAATTTTTCTCTCCCTATCCCTAAGCTCATGGTTGATATTGCTTCGTCCCATAGCATTTTCTCCTTCATGGATGGTTCATCTAGTTACAATCAGATTAAGATGACCCCTGAAGAGGAGAAATTCACTGCCTTTCGCACCCCCATAGGTGTGTTTTGTTACAAGGTGATGCCCTTTGGCCTCAAGAATGCCGGAGCCACCTATCAGCGTGACATGACTATCATTTTTGATGAGTTGATTCATAAGAAAGTTGAATGCTATGTGGATGATTTAGTGGTCAAAAGCAAGGTCCGTAGTGATCACCTCCGAGACCTAGGAATCATTTTTGAACGCTTAAGAAAGCATGATTTGAAGATGAATCCCCTAAAGTGCGTATTTGGCGTTACTGCGAAGAAGTTTCTTGGTTTTATTATTCGCTATCGTGGCATTGAGATTGATCCCTCCATGATCAAGGCCATAGTGGACTTGAAACCCCCTAGGAGTCTTACCCAGTTGAGTTCATTTCAGGATAAGCTCACTTTCTTGCGGAGATTTATCTCTAATCTTGCCGGTAGATGCCATCTTTTTGCCTCCCTAGCAAAGAAGGATGCCCGCTTTCATTGGGACAAGAGTAATCAGGAGGCCTTTGAGAGAATAAAGCGCTACCTGACAAATCACCCAGTGTTAGTAGCACCCATTCCTGGTAAACCATTGATTCTTTACACTACTGCCTTGAATGAGTCACTTGGTGCACTTTTAGCTCAAGAAAATGAGGAATGCAAAGAGAATGCCTTGTACTACCTTAGCAGACGTTTGATTCCTGCAGAGCTAAAATACCCGACAATGGAAAAGCAGTGTTTGGCTTTGATCTTTGCTGTGCAGAAGCTTAGACACTACATGCTCTCACACAAGATCAGTTTGATTTCTCGAGTCAACCCTTTGCAGTATCTGATGACCCCTTCCGACTTTGTCAGGTCATCTAGCATGTTGGTCAATGATTTTACTGCAGTTTGACATTACCTTTGTCCCTCAGCGGGCTATCAATGAACAGGCTTTAGCTGACTTTCTTGCTTCTCACCCGATTCTTGCAGATTCCCTACTTAATGACGAGTTGCCTGATGAACTAGTCTTGAGTTTGGAAGAGCAGGAGTCCCCTGCTTGGGAGTTTTACTTTGATGGAGCTTCTTCCATCAAATCACTGCGACCTTACGAAACTTATGTGGTTAGGGTAGGTTTTGGGCTTGTTTTTGTGTCTCCTGAAGATCATACCCTTCGCTACTCCTACAATCTTTCAGAGCCTCGTACTAATAATGAAGCTGAGTTCGAAGCCTTGATTGTAGGACTTGAGTTGGCTATTCAGATGAGCATTATGCGGGTGAAGATCTTTGGAGATTTCCAATTAATTATTAATCAAGTGGTCGGAATTTTCAAAGTTCTCAAACCTGAGCTCTTGCCTTATCACAACAAAGCAATGGAGCTCTTGTGTTTGATCCCTGAAGTAACTTTAGTTAGAGTCCCTCAATCTGAAATGGTAGAGCAGATGCACTAGCTAAACTTGCTAAGGAGTTGGCTGACCCGACTGGAAATCCGGTGTCGATTGTGGTCCAATACCGATAAGCCTTGTGTCCTGCGGACTTGTCTTCTCCTGATTAGACCCTCGCAGTGTTCGCTGTTGAGGAAGAGTCAGATTGGAGAATCCCCTTTATTGAGTATTTGAAGCGTGGTAGACTTCCGGATGACCGCTCTCTTGCCACTCAGATTAGAAAGAGAGCTTTGTCATTTTCCTACGTGAATAAAACCCTGTACCGACGCTCTTTTGACCAGATGTTGTTGCGTTGCCTCAACAATGAGGAGGCTCGTAAGGTCATGAGCGAAGTAAATGAGGGACTTTATGGTGCTCATTAATTCGGACCTAAGATGAAGGTCAGAATCAAACATCTTGGTTACTACTGGCCGATGATGATCCGTGATTATATGGAGCACGCTAGAAAGTTCCACCAATGCCATATTCATAATACTGTTATCCACCAACCTCCTAATCCGTTGCACCCCACTGTGTCTTCTTAGCCTTTTGAGAGTTGGGGCATAGATGTAGTGGATCATATTGACCCTCCTTCCTCTAATGGTCATAGGTTTATTCTGGCTGCTACTAATTACTTCTCTAAGTAGGCAGAAGCTATCCCGCTTAAGGAAGTCAAATCAGAAGATGTGATGCGCTTCTTCCGCAATCATGTTGTTTATCGTTTTGGTATTCCGTGCCGTATAATTTCGAATAACGGCCCGTCTTTTAGAAGCACCAAGATTGTTAGATTTGTCCGTCGCCATAACATAAATTGGCTATATTCCTCGATTTACTATCCTAGGGCTAATGGTTTGGCTGAAGCATTCAATAAGACCTTAGTCCAATTGATAAAAAAAATACTTGTGGAAAATAAAAGAGAATGGCACGACAAATTACCTGAAGCATTATGGGCCTATAGGACTACATACCGTACTCCTACTCAGTGTACACCATATGCTTTAGCTTTTGGGGTTGAAGTTGTCCTTCCGCTAGAGGTCGAGCTCCCCTTGTTGCGTGTAGTAGTTAGCTACAATCTTTCTCATGAGGATAATGCCTGACTTCAATTGGAAGAGCTTGATGGTTTAGAAGAGCTTCATTTGCAAGCTTATCAGAATCTTAAGTTGTACCAGGCCCGTATGGCCCAGGCACATGATCGCCTTGTCTAACCCCATGCTTTTCAGGTCGGTGAATTAGTCCTTGTCATGCGTAGGCCTATCATCTCGCATCGTCATCGAGGTGGTAAATTTGAGCCCATTTGGGAAGGCCCATTCGTTGTAGAGCAAGTATATGAAGGTGGATCTTATTTGCTAGTTGATACGAATGTCGTTCATCCCATACCCGTCATCAATGGGCAGTACTTGAGAAAATACTACGCTTGAGTTTGCACATCGCAAGGGGCATCCCCCGTCACTTATAAATATCCTTCTATATAGATATAACTCTAAAGAATTTCTCATACTTTTCGGCAGTCCGTGGCCACGACGATTTGTCCTCTACCACGTGATGTTCGTCATGCAAAGTATAAGATCATCCTTAAGGGTTGTGTGTAAATACGCCGTAGGGATGTTTGTGCTTACGTTCACATTCACTAATCACTTTGGTGTTGTTGCACAAGACCTCCTTTTCAGTCCCCTTCGAGGGTTGACTTTCTCTAGTTTCACTTGTTACCTTCAAGTGTGGTCTGGGATACCAAAACTACTAACTCGAATTTCTATGGAATGTGATACTGGGTCCATCCTTGATCTATATTTGTCAAATATAGTGATGTTGATCCATTGTCACTTTGTGAATTCCTCTACAAATTGTTGTTATAATTTTTCTCTCCTCAGTTTTACTCATGTGGCGAGTATGACCTAGGATATCAAAGCCAGCAATTTTCTCCTCTTTATGTTCTGGTATACTTGATCTATATCTGTAAAAAAAATAATAGGGTGAATGTTGGCAGAATACTCACTTCCTAGAACATTAATAGAAGCCGCCCGAGTAATGTTGGCAGAATACTCACTTCCTAGATATTTTTGGGCTGAGGCGGTTAGCACTGCATGCTATATTATGAATAGGGTGAATGTGAGATCGAATTTAAATAAAACACCCTATGAGTTGCTAAAATGTAGAACACCTAATTTGTCTCATTCGCATGTTTTTGGTTGCAAGGTATTCATTCATAATAATGGAAAATCTGCCTTAGAAAAATTTGATCCAAAATCAGATGAAGGAATTTTTGTTGGATATTCAAGTGTTGGAAAATCTTATAGGGTATTCAACAAAAGAACTTTTGCCATTGAAAAAATCACACATATTTTATTTGATGAATTTGGAAATTTGGAAGAGCCAAATATTGTTGAAGATGAGATTGAGGAAAACTCCCAAAAGATTGATAGAATAAATTTGGAAGAAAATGTGGAAGAGAATTTGGAAAGAGAAAACCCTTTGCCTAGAGATTTGAGATTTTCTAAAAACCACCCAAGGGAATTAATTATAGGTGAACCTAGTGAGGGTGTTAGAACTAGGCGTGGATTAAACAAGGAAGTCAATCATTCAGCCTTTATTTCAACTATAGAACCCACTAATATTGATCAAGCTCTTTTTGATGAATTTTGGATATTGGTCATGCAAGAAGAGTTGAATCAATTTGTAAGAAATAAAGTTTGGGAATTAACTTCAAGGCCAAAAGATCAAAGTGTTGTTGGAACCAAGTGGGTGTTCAAAAATAAAATGAATGACTCAGGAGTAGTCATTAGAAATAAGGCTAGATTAGTTGCTAAGGGGTATAATCAAATTGAAGGAATTGATTTTGAGGAGACTTTTGCCCCTGTAGCTAGACTTGAAGCAATTAGGGTTTTACTTGCCTTTTCCATTTTTAAAAGTTTTAAATTATTTCAAATGAATGTCAAAAGTGTCTTTTTAAATGGGGTAATTAAAGAAGATGTTTTTGTAGAACAACCTCCAAGTTTTGAAAATTCTAAATACCCAAATCATATTTTTAAGTTAAAAAAGGTATTATATGGATTGAAATAGGCACCTAGGGCTTGGTATGAGAGGTTGAGCAACTTTCTACTTGAAAGATCTTTTGAAAAAGGAAGTGTGGATACAACTCTCTTTTTAAAGAAATTTGAAAAGGAAATACTCATTATTCAAATTTATGTGGATAATATCATTTTTGGATCTTCAAATAAAAATCTTTGTGATGATTTTTCTAAAACAATGAGTAGTGAATTTGAAATGAGTCTAATGGGAGATTTAAATTACTTTCTAGGTTTTAGCATTAAGCAACTTGAGGAAGGTACATTTCTTAGTCAAACTAAATATATTAAAGACATCCTCAAGAAATATGAAATGGACAATGCTAAACCTGTTAGTACACCAATGAGTTCCTCAGTTCAGTTGAAATTGGACATGCTGATCAGAAAAGAAAAAGGAATATTTCATTGGGTCACTTGATTACATTTATTTTAGAAAAGAAATACAATCTAGTGCATCCTGATGAAGAATATGAGGAGCCGGTCTACTACAATGATGCTTCTTTTAGAGCATCTTCAAGGAGCAAAAAGAGAAAGCACCTGCCAGTGCTTCTGAAGAAGAACAAGAATTACAGCAAACATCTGCACCTCAATCAAATTATCAGAATTTGATTGAGAAATTTGATAGACTTGAGACTCATTTTGATCAACGATTTGATCAAATTGATGCTCAACTTCAGCAGCAGCAATAGGACATTGGTAGTATAAGAAATGAAGTTCATGAAATTAATACCAATGTTATGTTGATGACTTCCTACTTCAACTTATTTGGTGGCATTCCTCCTCCTCCTCCAGAAGAATAGAGATTTGGGTGATGATTTTCTAGATGTTTTTTGTATTAATGTTTGTTTTAGTTGTGTTTGCTTTAAAGTTCAGTGTATTTTTTTGTTTTAGTATTGATATTAAAAATTGATCTTGTAATCCTTTTATTAATATCAATATTTATGTGTTTGCTTTAGATTTGAATTGTTTTTGAAATGTGTTTAGATTTTATGAATTTCATTAGTCTTTTTAATCTTCATTTTGCTTAAATTAAATTATAATTTGAGATTAATTTCATTAGAAAATCTAGTCTTTCTAAATTTAAAATTTGTTTATAACTTGTTATAATTAGAATTTTTAATTTCATGTCTATTCATTTAGACTACATTAAAAGTTAATATTATTATTGCAATTTAGATGCTTTCTTATTTTGTATTTCTTTGTTCAAGTGATATTTATGCACTTAGAAAAAATTAGAAAATTTAGATTATTGATCTTGGAAAGAACTGGTTTCAATTACTCTTGAAAATTGTACAAAGAGTATAAAAATCAAAAGGAATGCGCAAAGGTTCGCAAATGTGAAAAAGAGGAACAAAATAAGCCCAATGTAAGAAGATGCAAAAAAAATGTGACAAAAATTTGAAAAAGATGCGCAAAGCGCCACATGTGGTAATTCTCTTCTTTCCAGATTCTTTCAATCTCTTAACTCAAATTGATCTTATGTTCATTTATATTTCTATTGAACTTTAAAATATATAATTTTTATTCATCTCTCTTGTAATGATTTTCTATATCTCAAATGTCTAAGTTGAATCATGTCTTTGATAAATTCTTCTTACTTACAATGTTATATCACTTCTTAAATTCTATGAATTTCTATGATTTACCTAATATTTTTAGTTTTAGATTGAATAACTTATGTCAATCACTCTTTAGATTAAATTTTCAAATGAATTTCATATAATTACATACATTTCTTATGTATTTCTTCTTCACTTTTTGTTGTTGTCAAAAAGGGGGAGAAATTATTGTGTTTGTTTGTATTTTGATTTTGTGTCATTTGGCTTGTGTTATTGTCTTGTATTTTTTATTTTTTTGTTTATTTGTTAAAAAATTTTTGAAAAACAAAAATATTGTTCTTTAATTCAAAATGCCTCCTTATTTTTATGTATTCATCAATTCAGGGGGAATTTAGGATATTTTTTAAATTTGAGATCATACAAATAATAATTATTTTGCCATCATCAAAAAGGGGGAGATTGTTAAGATAGTTGCTATTTAAATGTTTTACATTTATGTAACTTGTATAGTTTTGATGATTCCAAATATTATTGTTCAAATGTGTAGTTATCTCCTAACAATTTTAGACCTAACAATTTTAGAAGATTTGTATTTGCTTTTATGTGTACTAACATTTCAGGTTAAACAAGCTCTCAAACAAAAAGTCTTCAAATCAAAATCAGCAAGAATTACTTTTTAGTTTTTGAAGCTTAAAATTATCATTTAAATCGAGAGGGAGTGATTGTAATTGAGTGAATAAAAACATACACACACATAAAGGAGATCATAAAAAATTTATACTGATCGTACGGGACGATATCAGTTTGTAAGGTACGATCAGACAGTTATCTCCTATTAAGATCACATGGAACGAATAATAACTGGCTTGAAAAATTTTTTAAATCCTATTCGTCCGGGATGAAATTAAAAATCGTACGAGATGATTTGCTCTCTGTAAGATTTTCATCTAGAAAAAATTAAATTATCGTACATGACGATTTGGTCTCTGTAAGATTTTCGTCCAGACAAAATTAAATATCATCCAGGATGATCTGGTCTCTGTAAGATTTTCGTCCAGACAAAATTAAACATCGTTCAGGACAATCTAGTCTCTATAAGATTTTCATCCAGAAAAAATTAAATTAACGTACATGAAAATTTGCTCTCTGTAAGATTTTCGTCCAGACAAAAATAAATTTTCGTACAGGACGATTTGGTCTCTATAAGAATTTCGTCCGGACGAACCAATTTTCGTCCAAACAATACAACCGACTTAGGATGGTTTTTCTGCAGTTTTTAGAACCAACCTTGTAATAACCGTTCGTACCGGACGAACTTGGTTCGTACGGGATGATCAGCTTGTACGAAATCATTTCGTACACATATACAAATAGGTTCATTTCAAGGCTTTTAAGTAATATCGTCCAGGACGATCCACGATCGTATGGGATGATCCACTGCGTACAGAATTGAAAACTAGCAGCTTTTGGACAGTT